GTTAATGTTTAACTCTGATTGATCTACGGATTTTTGCGCGACCTCACCCATTTGTCTTTGGTAGTTACTGCCTACACCCGGCAGGGTTGAGCTCCAGTAGTCATGTCTTCTCAACTAGAATTCCGAGAATTTCCTCACGAAGCTAGTCACTAGTCAGCACATGTTACGATATTTTCGGGCAGAGTTTCGGAGGTTTTTGTTTTTTACACATTTGAAATCATCAATCAGTCATTGTTAGAACACTATTAGAAACCTGGAAGCACTGGACGGCCGGTTCGTCCTGGTATGGGGTTCATCAGCAGTGCGCATCCATCTAGTGCTTTCAGGTTTCTAATGGTGGTCATATAACAATGATTGGTTGATGATTTCAAATGTGTAAAAACACAAAACCTACAAAACTCTGCCCGAAAACATCATAGATTGTTTTTTTTTTCATAGTGAATTAACAGAAAATTAAATTTATTTCTATGCGTATGACCACATTTCATTAAACCTCATACTATTTGTGAAACAATTCAAATCATTAGAACAACAATCCGCCAAAAAAATCTAACTGAACAAAACAAACCAAATGAATACAAAAACGAAAAACACCTACACACACTGGTGTGATATTCAATTAAATTAAATTTATTTATTCTTGACTTTTTTGTTTCTGAGCAACAAAAAAAAAGAAAAAAATATATTCATAAAACAATCTAATTAATAAAAAAAAGAAAAAGATTAATTCACAAATAGGAAAAGTAATTGATTGTGTAGAAAATTGATGTGTGTGTTTGTATGTGTGTGAATGTAAGATGTCTGTAAGATAAATAAGTTGTTTCATTTTTGCTGACATGGAATTATCAGTGGTACAAGTCCCTGTAATAATACAATAATTCACAGTTATCGACGACTAATACCCATGATGATGATCATCATCACAAATAAAATTGTGATGGAATTGTGGATAGAAGAAAAATTAAAGTTGGATAACATGTTCGTTATTTTTATGAATAAAATATATAATAATAATAATCGTAGTAGTAGTAGTATATTACTAACAATGGATACAAAAAATGACTATTTTTTCACATTGAAATTTTTAAAAAATAGATTTAACAATTTCGAAAAAAAACAAATATACACAAAATGCACCGAATTAAAGTCAACAGATTGAAGTTGGTACTGCTTAAAAATAAAATTAAAAAAACAATTGACAAGAGAGAGAGATGGAGAGAGTGAAAAAACACATTGATACAATGTAACTTATAAAACAAAGGAAGACAATGACAAACAGAACCGGATAAACAAAGTTCCACGATTTTCATAGAGTTTTTTTTCTATACACACTTTCCTTTTTTATCATCCATTACTAACCACTGGTTAAATATTAGATAATAAAAATAATATTTAATAATTTAAAGAGAGAAATGCTTTTCATTGTTCGGTATCTTTTCCATTGTCAATAAGTACACTAGTTGTTTATTACTTGTCAATAGAAACATATCGATTATGCCACTACCTATTTTTTTTTTGAAACAGCAATCAGCCAACACTCATTGATTGATTGATTGATTGATTGAGCGAGCGAGCGAGGGAGGGAAGGAAGGAAGAAGTAAAAATCAATAACAATACTACTAATAAATAGCCAGAAAAGATGAATAATAATAAGAATGTTTTCCAAGTGAAGAGAAGTATGTGCATCTTTTGGAATATACATAAATGATCATTGTTTTCTTTCATTAAAAATGAAATGTCCCAGTGTCCAGTTCCAATCACTTATTGGTAAATAATAACGATAATAAAAACAAAATTTGTACAATTGACTAAATGATAATAATGAATATTCTATGAAAAAAATTGATTTACACAACACCCAAAAAATTGCACTATTATGATGACAAAAATCACAATTCTTCACATCAGGATAGACGGTTCATGGAGAATGGAATAAATTCATTGATTTTTACATTTTATAAGAGAGAAAATACCTATGAAATTAAAAAGAGAAAAAAAAATACAGAAATTGAAATCAAACAAATTGACAAAATAGAAACAATTTCTTCGAATATATATATTCCATTAATGTAGGATGAGGCTATCATCCTACTATGTGAAGTAGTTTACATGATTGAATGCCGAGGTATGAATTGAATCAGCTGATTCGTGTTAAATTCTTCACTTTAGTTATCTAGACATTAATATATCTGCACAGTAAAGATGAATGTTATGTTGTGTAGATGAAAACAGAATGAGATTTATTGTGGAAATTATGTTCAGAGAATGAGACTACCGAAAGGAGAATGAAAAGAAAACTCGTTGAGGCGGGGCGCAGGTAAACCATCATGTAATCTCAGTTGATAAAGTCAATGATTGATGGGTGCAGATTATCTGGTTAACATAAGTGAGATCAATCAAACTGAGGGTTGATGACAATGGTTTAAGTAGTTTAAAACTGTTTACGATAGTGTAAACGGATTAGATCTTTGGTTTAAGATAATCACATCTTCTTCTTTTCGAATCACATATTTGGTCTTGTAAATTTCATCTTGTTGTGCTGATATAATAGTAAATTGAATTGATACAGATATATGCCAAGTTTGACGGTGTTCATGATTGACTGATTGATTGGCTCTAATCCTAGCTACGTTAATTCAACAACTAACGAATAAATCACATCACAATGGTTTCTGAGTTAACTAACTTAGATTCCCTCTCTTATGGGGGGAAATATGGTAATGCATGTAACCTCGAATGTTGAAGACTATTGAGATCGGTGAAGAAACAACAGTGAAAGACTTTGTTGAATTAAAAATTAAGTTTTTTGAAAAATATTGGAAAAAAAGAAACACCGGTCGAATTGTTTGCACAATCTATCTTAGTTTATAACAATGAACTCAGTCAGTATCAGTTCTCTTTCGTTGTATTATTTACAAAAAAACACATCATTATTTAGAGTCGACTACATACACTCGAGACCATTGAGCATCACTACTTCATTTTATGCATTCTACTACCAACTTACTGATATAGTCACCTTGGTTGATCTGCACCAAACTCTACTTACAAAATGAACAAGTTCTATAACAACAATAATTTATAATATACAACTTTACAAAATAATCGTAAAACGTGAGTACAGTGAGTATTAAAAGCTAGTCAATCAATACATAACTAAGATCAGTGGTGTATAAGTTAAAATGTGAAACTGATTTTAGCATTTCAAGATGAAAAACTTCATCGACCTTGTGCTCGTGTTTGGTTTTCTAAGCTGGATGTTTTGTTTGTGGAGCTTTCATTCTTCTTCTGAACAACATCATCAGCACAAACTTCAGTGAAGCATTCGAATTTCTCCACGTTTGACCTGTAGCTTTTTCTGCTAACCTCGATCTTGATTGGTTGTTGTTGACCTTAAAATTGTCGTTGTTTGCACCTTTGTTTTGATTGTGTCGCCCTTTTGATCTGTTTCTTGATCCCTGTCACCCCCACCCACATCTTCCTCTGTTTGTCGAGCACTGCCCCACCACTGTGAGAATCGCGCCCTCTTTTCACGTCCTCCTAAGATCTTTAACCTCTTCTTCCCCACCCACCCTTGCTTGTTGTGTTGGAGCCTGCGAGAGATTGCCAACTCCGTCCTTCACCCGGATTGTCCCCGACGTGAGCTCACGGTATCTTTCAAGAAAACAGATCAAA